GGCCAACTCCAGCCACAGCAGCTTCAACCTGCTGGGCTCTGATGATTCTTCCACCTCAGCCTTACAAGTAGCTGGAACTAAAGGCATGCACTACCACACCCAGCTAATTTTTGATTTATTGTAGAGATGAGGTCGTGCCAAGTTGCCCAGGGGGGTCTCGAACCCACAGGCTCAGGCAATCCACTCACCTCAGCCTCCCAAAGGCGCGGGATTACAGGCTGAGCCACCGAGCCCGGCTGGACAGGGCTATCTTATTCATGGTCTGACCTGTACTGATAAGTGCTGATGCAGAGCTGGCCCCCAGGAAACTTGGCTTGAGTGGGCTTGAATGCATTTGGTTTCAAAGTTGCCTTCTGCAGCTCAGGCATCCAGCCTGGCCCAGAGCAACTTGGGACCAATGAGCCCAGCAATCATGCCCAGCAGACAAACCCTGCTGAGAGCAAACAGCCTGCTGGGTCCCAGGAAGCCTTGGCGGGAGTGGGCAGTGTGTGGGAGTTTAAGGCCGTCCAGACAAACGGCTCCTGGGACAAAGCTGTGCTGAGAGAGCCCAGCTGTCAACTGGGGGTCTTCCATGGAATGGAGGGCCAACAGCCCCCTTTGTCTACTTTTCAAAGCAGAGGGCCTTCTGAGTGGGAAGCAAGGCCAGGACTCCTGGGTTCTCACAAATCTTTTAATAACAGCAAATGAAGAAAACATTGTAACAGTAGGTCCCATGGTGAGGGTTCCTTTTCATTTGGGGAGCTTTGACACCAGAAACACCTGAGACTAAAATTCAAAATACTAAGTACACAAATTCATGACCATTTATTTCCAAAGGTGACTGCAGAAACCATTTTGGTACAATCAAAAGGTTTTACAAAACAGAGAAAACACGTTACCAAACGCCCCAAGAGGTAAGCACACTGGTGGGGGCACAGAGCACCCAAGAATCAGCCGGACAGAAACATCCACCCTGCTGCTGTTTCAGGGGGATTACACAGACTGGTTTGAAAGAGAGCCACTGTGCAGGGGGACAGCAAGGGGTCTTCCCAGTGCATAGTGATCCCAGCTGGGAAATGAGGAGGGAGGGGGTGGGGAAGAGGCATTTGCCAAGTTCCTGGCAGAATTCATTACTGATCAGCCAATCATATTCTCCACACTACAACAGAAATGAAGGATTCTTTCAAAGAGAACACAAAATTGACACCAAAAGAAAACCAGAGTTTCCAAAACAACAGCTTTGTTTAAAATGACTTCTGTTTTGTTTTGTTTTATGTGGGGTTTTGTCTGTTTCATGCCATGAATAGCAAACTAGTATGCAAAAACATCATAGACAAGAGCAACAAACGACTAGGTATTCCTAAGCACAAATCGGCTGAATCTATATACACAAGAGGAAGGCTCCCTCCCTCTCACTGACTATACCCACCTCAGAGCAAGCAGGACAGGTAGCAGGGGGGGCCCCTTTCTAGCCTGGGGACTTGCCAAGGAGACTGCAATGGCCTATGGGGAACCCTCTGCCACCAGCATCAGTGTCTTGTCCAACAGCATCACACATGGTCCATTTCTCCTCCTACTCTAGTCTTCCCTTCAGTGGAAACTGTAAAAAATCCTCTTCCAAAGGGGACAGATGACTCTGGGTCAATGTCTACAAATCCAGGGAAGTCTTGTTGGCAGAGGAGAGGGAGAGAGGGCCCTTATGCTGCCCCTGAGTCGCCCAGCTCCCCCCAGGGCGCCGCCCCAACCCAATGCCAGTGCACGGACACCAGTTGACAATTTGCTATCTGTGATCGATGATCACAGATATCAAAACTCTGATGGGGGCACAGCAAAAGGGATGATGTGACAGCCAGACTGAGGTACTGGGTGCACTGATTGCCCCAGTTAGCCCAGCGACCCTGCAAGCAGCTTCCGTGAATGCTATGGAGTACAAAGAGAAAGAGAGGATGCTGACTTGGGGAGACTGAGTCTGTGGCTCCAGAACTCCGCATGCCCTCGCAGGCTGACATAGGAACATGCCACTGTGCCTGTGGAGGAAGATGGACCACATCATCTTTGGTGAACAAAACCAAATACTGGGGGTAGAGAGGACCAGAAGCAGGCATGACCGTGTCTCTATGATTCAAACTGGACCCCATGAGTTGGTCAGCTCAAAAGACTGTTCTCCTTGGCCCAGATCCCTGGCCAAGGCTACCTGGTGGCTGGAGGGAACACTCTTTTCCCCTCCTGGGGCTGTTTAAAAGGAAACTGTCCTCATCTACAAACACTCTCTCCCACACGCACAGAGCTCCCACACGCTGGCAAACGGCATACGGAAACTTGGCTGGGGTGGCTGGGGAACTGCCTTGGCACTGACAGAAAAGCCCTAGGAAGGAGTTGGGCAGCCAGGGCCCACCAGTCACTGGGCCACTGGGTGTGTAGGCTGCGACTTCCCCTCACCCCCATACCAAAGCTGCCATAGTAATAGGCTGGCTGTTGAGCAGGTATTGAGGCTACCTCCTATGGCAGGCTGCCAGGGAGCTGGCCAGGTTACCTCTTTCCACATGGGCTTGGTCCAAGGAAAGAGTAAGATACAGACCCGTTCTGATGCCCACTGCTCCCAAACTTCAAATACAGACCATGACTCCACATGAAGTCTGTGGACTGGGCCCACTACCTGCTCCCTTAACCTACAGGTTTCTGAGCAAGCCTGGTCCCCACAATCCCTGCATCTCCCCTTCACTTCTCCCTTCCCCTGACAGGTGTATATGTCTCTGGCCTGGCCATGCCAGGCATGTGGCTTTCACTTTCTTCTCTTCTTCCGAGCACCAGAAAGTGCCCACCAGAATGAGGCATTCAGCTGTAGCCAAAGCCAAGGCAAGCTTTTGGAGGCATACCAACATGGGGAAGGCTTGAGCTTCCTGGCCACCTGTGCCATGCCACAGAGATGAGGAGGAGCAGAGGACCTAGGCAGTCACACCACTGTGGCATTGTGCAGCTGGTCCCCAGCTGAGGCACAGATCCTCTGCCTGCAGCAACTCCATATTCTAGTAGGGGACGGGCCGGGCCCCTGGCAGCTCCTCCCATGACCTCCTTCCAACCTCTCCTTGTTTAAAGAGGCCAAGGGGCACTGAGGTCTTGCACATTTCCTCACCAGCCATTTCTACATGCAGAACTTTGGTGGCATGCAGGGTCAATCCTGTCACTCAAGAGAGACCTCTTCTGGAGGGTAACCCTAGGGCAAGAGGCACAGAGAAAAGCTTGGCCCAGCCCTCAGAGAAGGCAGAAAACAAAAGTTATACATCAAAAGGAGCTGAAAGAAAGTAAGAGAACTCCACGCCCTGAGATAGACTGCCTCAATGCCCACAGGCCTCTGCAGAAGGGCAGTGCCCTTCCCAGAGTTGCTTCCCTGGGTCTCAGTTTACTCAGAGACTTTCTGCATTCTGCTGCCTCCTGGAGGTCCATTGCTAAAATCATGACCACTGAGTTACTAAAGCACAATGTAGGTCTAGTACAGTCAAACTTGAAATACTGGAACTGGCCTAGCACAACTGGGTTGCTTAGAGTGGGAAAGGAGAGGGAAAGCTCATCAGGTGAAGCCACTAAATGATCTTTCCTGTTCTTAAGCAAATCTGTTCCTAGTAGGAGTCAACAAGGAATCAGCTAATACCTAGCCACTGACTCCTTCCTGAGGTCCATGCATGACCAAGCTGAAGTCCTTCAACAAAGTTCCTCCTTTGGAGCACTTGAGTTTCCACTCATGAGAACCTGATTCCTTGGCAACCCCCTTTTAATCTAAACTGGGCTTTGGGGGTGGGTAGGGTGGGGAGTGTGTGATGCTCCCCACATTAAACAGTTCAGCACTGAGTCTGTCTACATTGGAGATATCTGGTCCCAGGAAACAACACTGGCTTGGGGAGCCGCATCTCCCCAAGCTCCGAATGCTGACATACCCTGCAAACCCAAGAAATGGACCTACAGGAACCCTTCCAGAAACGGCCCTGATGCAAGGATTTGCCAAATTCAAACATCCAAAAACAAAACAAACAAAACAACTCCAGCTCATCAGCTTATTCTTCCCTGAAGTTGCCTTTGTGTGTGTGTGTGGGGGGGGGGTGGATGGAGAAAAGAGAGCAAGAAAGAGAAAAGGAGAGGAAGGAGAGAGGGATATAGAGAGAGCAAGAGTGAAAGAGCAAGAAAGAGAAGAGAGTAAGAGAGAGGGAGAGAAAGTGCAAGCACACACATTTAAGGAACACTCAAGATTAAAATGGTAAAAAAAAAAGTGCATGATTCAAATCACAGTTTTCTCAAGTTACCACTTCTGTTGATTAATTTCTGTGCTCACTTCTGATTGGGATACGGGTCAGTTCTCAGCTCTCATGGGCAGAATTCACAGTGTCCTGCCTGGTGTTGTATATATTTTGACCCTCTTTACTTTGAATTTGTCATTGCAATAGATCTCCAACCCCTCAACAGAATCTAGCCCTAGGGCTGGGTGGCACGCCCACCTCCCATCCCAGGCAGCATCCTGGAGGGAGTGGCTGGTTGGCTGCTTGCTTTGAGTCATGGGACACCAGTGGGAGGAATCTGGCTGGTTCTATTTTGACCATGAGCTGGGAAGTCCCTTGGCTCTGGGCTTGCAGCTGGTGTAGAAACAAGGCCTCAGTCCCCGTATGGTGAGGGCTGTGCTGGAGAACAAAAGGGACCCCAGTGTCAGCCTGGAGGTTGATGGCAGTGGAGAAATGAAACACAACCCAATCTCATCATTTTGATGCTGAAAGAACTACTGCTTGTTGTTCCCTTTCTCCTCAACCAGCTGTTGTTAAAGCACCGACAAGCAGATTGAAAGAGCCACTGACTACAATCTCCCCACGTAAGGCCACTAGGAGCAAGGAGAAAGAGCCCAAGGGAAGGAGGACAACTCCAGCCCCCAGCACTACACCCCAGGCTCAAGGAGAAATCCTGGGAAGAAGAGCGGGGCAAGGAAGAGTGGTGGAAGAAAGGGACAGAGAGGAAAAAAAGGAATACACCAAACATGCTACTGCCCTCTCCCATGATTGCATCAAGAACTGGGTGTTCTCCAAATCAAGTTGGGACTTGCTTCCTCAGGGAGAAAAAAAAGAAAAAGAAAAAGAAAAAAAAAACAAGCACCTTCAGTCTATTTTCTTGGCTGGAAGCCGGAGCAAATCCAGCAGATATTTACACAAGGGCCCAGCCATGTATGAGAACAGGATGACCAGCTTCCCGTGGGTCATGGTCATGAGAGTCTGGTGTCCCGAGGCCCAGATGCGATACCAGGGGCCGTAGAATGGGTCTGAGATGGCCGGACACAGCATGTTGTTCAAATTCACTTCGGTGACCTGCAGGGACAAGGGAGGTAGAGTAAGCGTTCGCCATCCTTGGGCTCTCTCTGGCTTCTGACAGTTCAGCCATCTCTACCTAATGGGGGATTAGACAAGGAGGGATTGGTCAATCCCCACCTGTTCATGAAGGGATTGCTTCTCTCCCCTAGGTTTTCTGAGTGAATCAAGGCTTGAGTCCTCTGGAGGTGACGGGGAGGGCTGTCTGGTGGAAAAGCTGTTCTGTCTTGCTCAGAGTCGTGCCTTTCCGGTTGGGCCCAGAGCCCATTGCCATTCCTAAGCATCTACTGTGTACCTAGACCCAGAGAGGTGTTATGGGCTGAAAGTGCAGTCAACAGCATGGTCCCTTCCTCCACATAACTGGTGATTAATCAAGTGGGGGTGACTGGTTTACTACATCCAACCTCAAACCAGACAGTCTCCCTGAGTTTGACACACCATGAGGAGGTATGAGGAGCATACAAAATAGGGCCGAATCCTCAAAGAAGATTTCACGAGGGAAGTGGCACCTGAATGGACTCATGACAGATGGATGGGGTTATGGTGAGGAATGGGGTGAGCGGAGCCTTCCTTGTAGGAGGCGTGGCCTGAGCATGGTATGTAGGGTGACATGAGCACACTGACGCTTCTGGAATCCAAGATCCCAGTGGAGGGCAGCGAGAGGCAAGGGTGTGAACATCGTACTGCTTCCTCCCATGAGCGTGGGAAGCATTCACATTGTTGACAAGGAGCTTAGACTAGCCCCCAGCAAACCAGAGCAGAGCCATATACCAAGGTGAGGAAGGCACTGGGGACATCGGTTACATGTCCTAGTCATGCTAGGTCGCACGAGGCTCCATACGGCTAATGCTATGTTAAAGCCACTCGCACACAAAACCAGACATGCCACTCCTGCCCCGAGGACAGCCACAGCACCTGCCTTCCAAAGCCCTTCAAGCCTGTTCACATTAAAGACAAGTCCTCACCACCTCTCAGGGAGGTTGGGGCTTTTATGCCATGTCACAGAGAGGTGGAGAACTCTCTGCCCTCCAGGGTGACATGACTCACTCAGAGCAGTGGCAGAGCCAGAATTTGAACTTGCGTCTCCTGACCCCTAGCCACAAGCTCTTCCTATTCACTTTGCCACCAATATACACCCTTGCACTCAGCAATCTTAGGCTCTGGATAACTCAACTACTGAGTCCAACCATGCTTCACACTCCAGGCAGTTCTAAACAACCCAGAATGACACAGGTGCTCCTCAACACCACATTTCCACTGGCCATGCAGCTCAGGGCAGAGCCTGGTCTTTAGGGCCTGTGAGCAGGCCCAGGATGGACCCAAGGTCAGACCTCCCCCAGGTCCAGGGCCAAGGTTAGGGTCCTGCTTCCCTATGGGGTCCACAGCAAACCACCTTCCAGCTACAGCTGTATTGGACACAAGTGGCCATGAGTGAAGGGCATCTTTGCCTCCCCAGGGATGAAAGAAACCAATCATTACTGAAGGATTCAGAAAACTCTTTGAAGAGGCCAAGGCTGTGGATCATAAATCAGCAACCCAGACACAACAATCTGACATCCTGGCCTTTAGCATCTTGTATTTTCAAAACAAAACGATACACCAGTGCCAACCAGGCTTATTGAGATTTATGGAGAACTCCAAACAGAGGGAATAGAATGGGATATAACCACACTTACCAGGCCGAGGATCTGCAAGACGCTGAAGTGATAAAAGAACATGAGGCCAGTTGACAGAAGAGCCCACCGGAAACTGCTGAGGGGCTCTGGGGTGTAAGCACCTAGAGGAAGAAGGAAGATGGTGAGATGGCAGGAACAGGGACCCACTTTTCCTTTGTCCCATGAGGGTGGCGGTACCAGGCTCACAGTTGCTGCCTGCTGATTGCTCCTTTTGCTCACCAGTGACAGTTACTCAAGAAACAGCCCCATTGATTAGCTGGGTACTTAAACCAACCCCTTCCTGACCTCTGTTCTGCCACTTGAGGCTGGTGCCATTCAAAGACATAATTTTTTTTCATTATAAAAGCAGTACATGCTCATTAAAGAAATATTTTTCAATGTTATAAAGTAAAAACAAGATGGATGAAAGGAAGACACATCCCCAGCATTCTACTACCAGAATGCAACCACTGCTCACACATGGGTTTTTCTCCTCGGTCATTTTCTCTATGCCTCAGGATCTTCTTTTCTTTGTTAAATTCATAATTAGAATCTTACTGTATAGATAACTGCCTTCATTTCCATGTTTATTTGCTCATATTTCTGAAGAAAAAATACCATTGAGGAAGCATGGCATAAGAGTTAAGAATGTTAACTTTGAAGTCATATTTGAGTTCAGATCTTGACTCTACCACTTACTGGCTGTGTGACCTTGGATAAATTTTTTAAACTCCCTGAATCTCAGTTTACTTGCCTGTAAAATGGGGATAAAGTACTACCCGTTTCTTAGAGTTGTCATAGGGTATAAATGAAATATATTGAAAGTTCTTAGTTCTAGTACAATGTAAGTTCTAGATAGTACAATGAGTGTCATATGCTGTCATTATCATCATTAGTATTCAAATAATTGAAAGATGTGTCATATTAAGTAGTTATGCCATTCCCAACTACTGGATAATTCTCTCCCCCAGGAATCCAAAAAATGATACATTTTCCCTCTTTCGTCACTAGGAACTACCGTCCTCGCAGGTTTGGCTGTATTCCAGGGCTTTCAGAGCTGGGGCATGATTTGTAGGATATTTTGGGTGTCACTCTGAGTGGGTACTCGATATGGGGTGCTCGAAAATGAAAGGGATCTGGAACCCCTACCCCAAGTAAGCAGGGATGATATCACATCCTAGAGTACTATTTCCCCAAACCAGCACTGATTCATCCATTCATTCAACAGTTCTAAGGCACCTCATATGTTCCAAGACCTGTACAAAGCTTTGGAGATAGGAAGATAAGAAGACAGGCTCATTGCAGTCTCAGATTCACAGTTAACAGTCACAACACAGTGTGGTTGGTGGGATGACGGAAGTCTGCCACCTGTTTATGGGAAAACAAAACTCAACCAGGAGACAGGGAATGCCTCTTGTAGAGGGAGCATCAAAGCAGAGTCCTGAAGGAAAAATAGCACCTAAGGAGAGGCCTAGACATTCCAAAGCAGCAGCCTGCATGGAGGCAGACACAAGCAAGCTGATTCCAAGAACTATGAGTGACTAGACTCAGAGGTTGACAGGGTTGGTCTTCTCCAAGACTGGGCCATACTGAGGGTTCTGGGCTTCATTCCGTGCAACAGGGTCATGAGCTCAAATGCCTCAAGTCTCAGGTAGGTCATCGGAAGCAGGGGTGTACCTAGCCAAGGCTCAAGAGACATTAGGGGATGCTAGAGACTGGCAAACTAGAAAGCCCATGTTCCTTCTAAAGAGGACAACCATGGCTCAGCTCCACCAAGTCATTGCCCTGCAGGGACTGAAGAGCCCAAAGTTGCCAGGTTTGTGTGTGTGTGTGTGTGTGTGTGTGTGTGTGTATGTTTCACTTCTGCAAGAGAAGCCAGAAAAATGAACTTTTATGTGGAATTTCCTTATTTTTAAATGTTGGCGACTAATTCAGAATGTTTTCAGAATACTCAATGGACCAAACAAAGCATGTCTTTTGGATGGATTCCAGCCCCTAAGTGGCCAGCTTTGAGCTCTGCTGTAGAGCCACAGGAAGCAGAGGAAGGTTTGAAGCAGCAAGGTGATGTGATTGCATGTGTGCTTGCAAAAAATCATCCTGGCTAGTACGTGGGGGACTGACTAGCACAGCGAGATTCAAGGCAAGGGAGGCCAGTAAGGAGATGGTTGCAGGAGCACAAAGAGACAAAAGGATGGCCTCGGAAGGTAACAAAAATGAGGCTAGAGAAGAATGGGGGAAATCACCAAGACGAGGAAGAAAACTGGATGTTGGGGACAACCGGGTAAGGGAGAAGAAGGATCTTAGAAGACTCCCAAGGTCTGGCTTGGGCATCACTGGGCTGACAGTGCCATTTATTGAAATGGAGAAGAGAGGAAAAGGCAGACTGGGGCAGAGGATGGGGAAATAATGAGGTCAAGTTTAGACATGTTGAAACTAAGGTGTCTGTGGAATAGCCAGGTGGAAATGTATCTTTGGTGGCTGGCTGTACTCTGGGATGGGTGTGATGGGTGAGAGCATGGGTGCCGGATGGAGCTCAACAGGTGAAGGTATATAAATCCTGGTCCTGCCACTTATTGGTCTTGGGGCATTGGGTAAGTCTCAGTGTCTCTGGAACTCAGTTCTACTCACCTATAAAATGGGGCAGCACTGCCTAATTCACAAGGTTGTTGCAGACAGATGAGATAATATGTCATAATTATAGTATTGTATCTGGGATTTAACAATGGGTGATTATTATATGAGTCACAAACTCCGCGAAGAGGATGGGGCCAAGCATCCAGATGCAGGTGTCATCAGCACAGAATGGTAACTGAAGTCCTGGGAGCACACGAAGACTGAGAGAGGGAGAAGACCAGAGGTGGAGCACCAAGGAACACCATGACGCCATGTGTGTGTTGGGGGGGGGAGGAAGACGAAGTGACTGAAGCTGGGGCCAGGGGCTGTGTTACGTGAGAAAAGCTCAGGTTTGCTCTAGGAGTAAGAGGCAGGCTCACAGCACATCTGAATCAGAAGCCCTTTGAGGACACAGATCTCATCCCTCCATTTTATAGATGGAGAAACTGAGGCTGTGAGATGGACAATGTCACAGCAAAAGTATTCACAGTGGAGCACTGGAGAAACAGATTCACACACTGCCAGCGGACTCACTGTTCAATGCTCCTCTTGCCACTTGTCTAGACCCCCAGCACACCAAGTTGGATTGTCTCTTTCCTTGTCTGTTTCTTCCTCTAGACCAAGCATGTCTCAGGGTTGAGAGCCATGACAGGTGAGCACCTGCATCCCTAGCCTCCAGCACAGTGCCCGGTGTGTGATTCTGTGCTATCCCCTTAAGTCATGTGCGTTCCTGTCTGCTGAATGAGTGTTACCTGCATACCGTGTTGTCACCCTGGCTGCGGGGGCATACAGGGGAAGATGGGGTCCTAAAGGAGCCACAGGTGCTTAGGCTGCCACTCTTCCCGCTGCTGGAGACCCCCAGCCATGTTCCCCAGGTGTCCCTCTCCTTCACCCTCCCCTCGGCTCCCCCTCGTGGCAGCTTGGCAGTAGTGACAGGCCCTGTGAGCCGGGTGGTGGCTGCAGGTAAGGAAGTGAGTGTATGTGTGGAGGGGGGTGTCTTGGGCGGGGAGGCAGCTCAGCAGCCAGCACTGGGGAGAGCTGGGACAAGGCTTCAGCTGCCAGGCGCACCCCCTCACAGGGTTCCTTCGCTGTCCTGCCCTATGCTATGGGGGAGAAAAAACACTCGGAAGCTACCAGGGGACATGTTTCTCAGTGCTCTCACCGCCCCCTGCCCAAACCCCAACTTTAGTGGCATTCATTCAGCATTGCATCATCCATCCCATACCAGACTATTAGTTATCTGAGGAAGGGGCTGTTTCTGGATCACCTCTTCACATCCAGCATCTGGCACACAGTAAGTACTCAAAAAAGAATCAATGCATGAGTGAAAACAAATGGCATAAACTTTCTGGAGAATCATAAAAGTATAACAACCCTTTGATTCAACAATACTACTTTGAAGACCACCATGGAATACCTGAAAGCCCCAATAAACTGCCCTTATTTGCACAAAGGCATTTACACCTGCACTATCTATACTATTGAGAAACTGGAAACAAACCAAATGGGGAGATAAGTAAACTACGGTGCTTCAATATTGTGCAACAGTTCCCTGTCATTCAAATGACAACCAGATAAGCTATGTACCTGTGTGAAAAGTCCATGGCTGGTAATGGCAAGTATAAAAGATAGAACACCAAATAGTACGTAGATGATAGAAAATATAATTTAGTAGTTTAAAAATAAAGGATTTGGGGTCAGACAGCCTTGGGTTTGAATATCAGTTCTGCCACTACCCACAGGAGTGACCTTGGGCAACTTGTGCTGCCCCTCTAAGCCTGTCTTCCAGTGTATCAACTGGAGGCAACATCTACCTCTCAGTGCTGGTGAGTGGAATAAGAGAGATATAAAAGTACATATAAGCCGGGCTTGGTGGCTCAGCCTGTAATCCTGCGCCTTTGGGAGGCTGAGGTGAGTGGATTGCCTGAGCCCGCGGGTTCGAGACCCGCCTGGACAGCGAGACCTCATCTCTACAGTAAATCAAAAAATCAGCTGGGCGTGGTAGCGCATGCCTGTAATTCCGGCCACTCGGAAGGCTGAGGCAGAAGGATCGCCGGAGCCCAGCAGGTCGAGGCTGCGGTGGCCAGGAGCGGCCACTGCACTCCAGTCTGGGCGACAGAGTGAGACTCCAACTCAAAAAAAAAAAAGTACATATAGCAGCTACCCTGGCGTGTAGACAGCAGCTGCTATTTTTATTGTGGCAACCACAGCCATCCCATCTCTTATAAAAGACTAAAGAGGCTGAGGAATCTTGTAAAGAGGTGATCTTCTCCATGAAGGGGCACTTCCACTGCAGTTTTCATTGCCCTTTCCCTGTTGTTGGTTCTTTTCATTGAAGGAAGCAAGGATCAAATATTCCATTTCTTTGAAAAAAAAGAAAGTCCTCTGATAACAAATGACTCAGTCTATGTAGATGTACGCAAACTGTATGCAATCGTATATCATTTTCTTTTCTATATACCTGCATGTGACCTTTGGGATAATCCTAGTGAAAAACCAGTTTTCTTCT